CACGCCTGAAATACTGAACAGTTTTGGACCTGTTGTCTGAGAAAAGGTAGCTGGAAGCTATCCAAAGAAGCTTCAATAGGTATGGAGGGGACTGTGTTATGAGGAGAGTGGGGCCTGTACACATTGGAACATAGAAGTTTAAAAGGCAATCTTATTGAAACATCCAAGATTCTTGGGGGTCTTGCCAGAGTAGATGCGGAAAGGTGGTTTCCCGTTGCAGGCCTAATCTTAGATAAGGGTTGCCCAGTTAGCGCAGACAAAAGAAGGAATTTTCTTGAGTGTTGTTGCAGGAAATGTTTTGCCATGGCCTGTTTGAAGCAGCTTAGTATATTTCAAGAGAAAATCTTAATTAAAGCACAGGAAGATGAGAATAGATAGTGGGATAGTTCAACATTACTCTGGGATGATAAATAAATATTTTTGGAGGTTGAATTTTAAAATGGAGGCAGACGGATTTTGGCCCATTCTGTGAAGGTTTTTTTATTAGAAAGGGCGAAGTCATTCTGGAACAGTAGTCTAAGTACGTCATTGTGAAGAAAGACCGTGACTGGAATCACATTCTGAGAGAGTCCCTGTATTGTTAGTGGATAAGTTGTTCACACTGGTGAATTTCTCACCAACAGAACAAAGCTTTGATGTGACTTCGGATTGGAAGAATCAACGTGTTCAATTCAAATGGAACATAATAATTATAGATGAGGGGACTCTGTTACTTCAGGAACATTTCCTAGGACCTCAGAAATGTGAAAAGTTCATGCCCATAGACTCCGAAAGGAATCATAAAATTGTCTTCAAAATTCATGAGAAAGGAGTCAGTTACATAGAAACTTAAGAGTTGAAATACAAGGCTAATTTCTCTGGTCATGAGTCCCTGCAATGGTTAATGTTGGGAAACCAGCTGAAACTTAGTTTTGACAAGGTGTGGAGCTGGAGGAACACAGCAGGCCAGGCAGCATCAGAGGAGCAGGAAAGCTGACGTCTTGGGTCTGGACCTTTCTTCAGAAATTGGGGGGGGGAAGGGGGCTCTAAAATAAATGGGGGGGGGGGGGGGCCGCTGATAGAAGGTAGATAGTGGAGCAGATAGGTGGGAGAGACGGCGGACAGGTCAAGGAGGTGGGGATGAAGCCCCCAGACCTCCCCATCACTGAGGATGAACGGTCAGTCCTCAGTAAAGGATTCACCTTCATCCCCCTCCACCGGAACATCAATGAATACTGCTCACGCCTGGACATCGAACAGTTTTTCTGCCTCCGCCTCTGTGCTTATTTCTTTAATCGCAAGTCGAAACACCACCCCCCTCCCCCCCATTGACCCCTTCTTCAGCTTCCAACACACACCATCCTTCTGGGCACCATCTGAAGGTCTCCTACCCTCCCTTGACCTCTTCATCTCTAACTGCCGTCGCGACATTGATCATCTCAACCTCTCCACCCCTCTCACTCACTCCAACCTCTTCCCCAACAGAACGTGCAGCCCTCCGCTCCAACCCTAACCGCACTATCAAACCCGCGGACAAGGGAGGTGCAGTTGTGGTATGGCGCACTGACCTTCACATCGAGGCCAGGCACCAACTCTCTGACACCTCCTCCTACTGCCCCTTTGATCATGACCCCACCCCTGACCACCAAAACATCATCTCCCAGACCATCCATAACCTCATCACCTCAGGTGACCTCCCACCCACAGCCTCCGACCTCCTCATTCCCCAACCCCGCACCACCTATTTCTATCTCCTTCTCAAAATCCATAAACCCGACTGCCCTGGTTGACCCATTGTCTCTGCCTGCTCCTGCCCCACCGAACTTATCTCCACTTATTTCGATTCTATTTTCTCCCCCCTGGTCCAGGAACTCTCCACCTACGTCCAGGACACCACCCACGCCCTCCACCTCCTCCAAAACTTCCAATTCCCTGGACCCCATCACCTCATCTTCACCATGGACATCCAATTCCTGTACACTTGCATTCCCCATGCAGATGGCCTAAAGGCCCTCTGCTTCTTCCTGTCCCGCAGGCCCCACCAGTCCCCCTCACCGACCACCTTATCTACCTAACCAAACTCATCCTTACCCTTAACATCTTCTCCTTCAACTTCTTCCACTTCCTACAGACAAAGGGGGTGGCCATGGGTACCCGCATGGGCCCATGCTATGCGTGCCTCTTTGTAGGATACGTGAAACAGTCCCTTTTCCGCAGCTACACTGGCACAATTCCCCACCTCTTCCTCCGTTATATCAATGACTGTGTATCGGTGCCGCCTCCTGCTCCCACGAGGAGCTCAAACAGTTCAACAATTTTACTACCACCTTCCACCCCAACCTCAAGTTCACCTGGACTATCTCCGATACCTCTCTTTCCTTCCTGGACACCTCGGTCTCCATCTCTGGTAACCACCTTGAAACTAATATCTATTTCAAGCCCACCGACTCCCACAGCTACCTAGACTACACCTCCTCTCACCCACCTTCCTGCAAGAATGCGATCTCCTTTTCCTAATTCCTCCACCTCTGCTGCCATCTGTTCCCAAGATGGGGCGTTCCACTTCCAGACATCCCAGATGTCCTCGTTTTCCAAGGACCGCAATTTCCCCTCCACAGTGGCCGAAAACTCCCTCGACCGCATCTCTTGCATTTCCCGGGCCTCAGCCCTCACACCCCCTCCCCGCAGTAAAAACAAAGACAGAATTCCCCTTGTCCTCATGTATCACCCCATTAACCTCCGGATTGAACACATCATTCTCCGCCGCTTCTGCCACCTGCAGTTTGACCCCACTTTGAAGGATATATTTCCCTCCCCACCTGTATCTGCCTTCCGGAGGGACCGCTCTCTCCGTGACTCCCTCATCCGCTCCACACTCCCCACTAGTCCCAGTTTCCCTGCAACTGCAGGAGGTGCTACACCTGCCCCTACACCTCTCCCCCTCACCCCCATTCCAGGCCCCAAAAGTACCTTCCACGTTAAACAGATGTTCACCTGCACATCCACTAATGTGGTCTATTGTATCCACTGTTCCTGATGTGGCCTCCTCTACATCGGGGAGACCAAGTGGAGGCTTGAAGAGAGCTTTGTGGAGCAACGTTTTTTTTTCTTTATTCATTCACAGAATGAGGGCATCTCTGGCTAGGCCAGCATTTAATGCCCATCCCTAATTACCCAGAGGGCAATTAAAAGTCAACCACACTGCTGTAGGTCTGGAGTCACAAGTAGGCCAGACCAGGTAAGGATGGTGGTTTCCTTCCCTAAAGGACATTAGTGAAACAGGTAGGTTTTTCCAACAATCGGCAATGGGTTCATGGTCATCATTATACTCCTAATTCCAGATATTTATTGAAATGAAATTCCATCATCTGCCATGGTGGGATTTGAAACCCGGCCCCCAGAATGTTATCTGGTCTCTGGATTAACAGTCCAGTGATAATATCACTAGGCCATCGCCTCCCCTAATACCTACGCTCGGTTCGTGACAAACGACTGCACCTCCCAGTCGTGAACCACTTCAACTCTCCCTCCCACTCCCTGGACGACATGTCCATCCTGAGCCTCCTCCAGTATCACAACGATGCCACCCGGAAACTGGAGGAGCAGCACCTCATATTCCGCCTTGGAACCCTACAACTTAATGGTCTCAATGTGGACTTTATTAGCTTCAAAATCTCCCCACACCCGACCTCATCCTAAGACCAGCGCCCCCTCTTATCCCCGCCTCCTTGACCTGTCTGTCTTCTCTCCCACCTATCCACCCCTCCCTCCTCACTGACCAACCCCCACCCCCACTTCCTACCTACACTCACCTTTACTAGCTTCATCCCCGCCTCCTTGACCTGTCCACCATCTCTCCCACCTATGTGCTCCACTATCCACCTTTTACCATTGCCTCACCCCCCC